GTGGGATGGCCATTTCTTTTGCACAGGCTGCAAAACTGTTCCATCCAGCACTCTCCGTTCACTCGCCAGTGCTCCTTGCTACAGCTGGAACACCACTCCTTCTTGCCGCCCAGCGCATAAATCTCGTGATGTAGTTGTTCTTTGGGTGTGTTGGTCACTGCTGGGCTGTCGTAGTCGGAGTCTTCTCTGGCCAGGAGGATTTGACGTTCCATTGATGGGTGCTTGTCCCGAGTCATTTCACGGCGACGGATTCCGGCGCTGGACGTATCAACCTGACGGTTCTTGAACTGGCGCAAGATTTGGTTTTTCCGCTGTGAGTCAAAGTGTCGGTCAAGGTCGTCAATGGACGAGAACACCATTTGAGACAGGAGATCTCCCAACGATTCATCTTCCAGAGCCATTTAAAAACGCCCGATGTGGTCTTCCAATATGCTGGCTGACTTTCCAATATTTCACCCTCGCGCTTTGGGCTGCACTGTTGAATCGGTACAAGAACGTCTTCAATAGCTCCTTCGGCTTATGTGTCATGCGGTAGTACTTGTCAGCTTTTGGCAGCAGGTTGGTGATTCATTCCTTTGCAAACTTTCTCTTGATATCCTTCCACGACTGCTTGTAATGGGGCTGCAGTTGTTGAAAAAGGCTCGCACAGTCTTGCTCAGGTACGAAGAGAACCAAGCTATCTTTTCTTGTTCCGTCCACCCTGATAGCCGTGACAATTGTTCGTAGCGTCTCATCCATTGATACGACGCCTCGCGGTTGTCTTCGCTGCCGGAGAAGACGGGTAGAGAATCCATGGATAGCACGTGCATAGCTCCTTGGTGTCCCATCGACGGCAAGTTATCCCAGAGGTCTTCATCGTCCCCGCCGTACCCAGGGTTGCCACCTTCCCCATGTCTCCCGGGGTTCCTTGGGTTCCCTGGGGGATCTGGGTCGCCAGAGAAGTTGTCGGAGGGTTCGTAATCTGTTCCATCTTGAAATGTGATGCCTCGTCCTCCTCTGGTTGGCTGCATTCGTGCACCTCGCTGGGGCCCACTTTGTACGCTTCCAGCGCTTGTGGGTCGATCCATGGCAGTGGTCTGATTGTGGCTTTGCTGTAATCCATGAGGAAGCCTTTTTTTGAGGGAGGTGTTGTTGGCCTGTGGACAACCCAAATTGGTTGAAGATGTCACGTAGCTCTTCCAACGTATACGTCTTGACATTCGATGCTGTCGATAAGTTGGCGGAGTTGGAATGGGAAATGCTAGAAACTCTTGACCCATCGAGGTTTCCGACAGTCAGGTTCGGACCTATGTTACCGGCGCCCCCCGCGAGTCCAGGGTCACCAGGGGATCTCGGGTTGCCAGAAACTCTTGATCGATGCTGCGACTGGCTTGTTGAAGGACGAGGTAATGCAGTTGTCGGAAGGCTTGCCATCAACGCTTCCAACGTGGCCCGAATGCCCTCCATCTTCTGGTCCAATTTTTGCTCCAACATTGAAGTCACCATGCCAACTGTGGTCTGTGGTAGCACCGGGTCCGCACTTTGCATGGTGTCTCTCGTACCAATAGAGGCTTGGGCAGAGCTGCGTCGACTCGGTGTAACGGACTCATTCTTGATTGACGGTGCTACGTCCGCCGGTTGTTCCGCCAAGTCATGGTACACCATTCCACGTGATGCCACTCGCGGGTTTGAGACGCTTGTTCGTTGAGTAAATGATCCTTCGAGTTCGGGTTTCTTGAAGTACGACGGTAGGCTGGGGCTTCGGGAGTCGTTCACTGTGTCAGTAGCGTGGGAGTGGGAGGACATACTTCGCACTTCGAGGGGCGGCGCAGATGGGTCGGTGTTGTCGGTGTTTTGATGAATCCACAAAGCCGCCTCTTGTCGCCGCGACTCACGGAAGCAGGATTGGCTGTACTGGACCACGTAGTGCAGCAGAGATATCATCTTGACGAGTTTTTGGTTGAGTGCCAGGTATTCTCGAGAGCCCGCGACCACCAAGTATGATTCCAAATACCACGTGTAGACTTCGTCGTCTTCCGCTTCTCTGATCTTGACGTTTAGCATTCGGAACACATTCTCCAGCCAGGAGAGGCAGATACGGCATTCGTCGAGCGTCATTTCTTTGTAGGGGTCAACCGGAAGGGGGGCTATGGCATCCAACGAGGCGCGCTTGATTCCATCGCTCCATGTGCCAAACTCCGGCTGGAGGAATTTTGTCCAGGCGTTGGTTTCATCGGGGGGGGGGGGGGGGTCATCAGGTCGATCAATTCTTTCTCGAAAAACGTTGGCTGATCATCCAGGGGCATCGCCTTGATCCTCGCCTTCATGGTGTTCATTCTGACTTTCCATCCTTTCTCGTCCTTGGGCCGAGAAGAGGAGGTCGTGCTCCCCTTGCTGGATTTGGCTTCTGGTTGCGTCAAAACGGATGTAGCAAATCGTATGCCCACTTGGTCGATGCGGGGAACTGTTGGGTTCCAACTGGCTGTTCGGAAGTCCATACCCGCGTACAGTTTTTCCCGGTTCTTGAATGATTCGGTCAGGATTTGTGTTTGTCGTCTGTTCGAAACGACGTTGTACCCATGGCTCAATGCACTCAAACGCGCTTGCTCCATTTCTTCTTTCAATCGAGCTTGTTTGGCCGCTTGTTCCGATGCAAGCTCTTCTTTTAACGTGATTTCAATCTCACGATCTTCGGCTGCCCCTTCCATTCCCTGATATGGTGTTGGGGGGGGCAGGCGAGGGGGTTGTGTACTTCCTTGGTTATTCCATTGAAACTTCCTCCCGGCAGGCGCACCAATTGTGATGATGTTATGGCTCACAATAATAAGATATCGAGGGTTGTTTCGGAGGCTTGACGTCAATGGGGCAAAGATCACCGACGGAGCACACAAGGGGAAGTTCGGGGTGTTCGGGGAGGACAGGCAACTCAGGGAACCCGGGGAAAGCCGGGGTAGCTGGGAAGGTCGGGAACACAGGGGGTTGAGCAGTCGACTCAGGGAACCCGGGGAATGCGGGGTGACCTGAGTAA